GATAACACTCCTTTGCTTGTTGCTTCAGTTTTCCTGCCTGTGTGTACATATTGAATGCTGTGCTTGTTTTGTACATTCCTACCTCACACTCCTGTTTTCAGATGAACATGTAAACTTAAAGACACCCTCTTGTCTTGCTTATTTGCAGAATATGCTTTCAAGGCCATAAACCAAGGTGGACTTACGTCAGTAGCAATCAGAGGAAAGGACTGTGCAATTGTTGTAACACAAAAGAAAGTACCGGTGAGTCTTTGTGTTCACACTGCTGTGAGAGTGGAAGCACTGTGAGCATTGTAACCTATTCACTTTAGAGCTCTTTACATGCCACACTTTCATGTATTTTCATGGGAACTTGATATGCTTCATTCATTGGTTAGTGATAAATGCGCAACAATGCACCTGAGTTTCTCTCCACTACTTAAAGTACTGGTAAAATAGTTCACATCTAAGAGGTGTATATATCATATTTAAAAAAGAGATGAGCAGCAAGAAATTAAAAGCATTTTTTACGTTTAAACAAATATTGATGTAGTTTTGTTTTCATTTACATAGCTTTTTATTTGCAGGAGACATAATTGCATTTATACTCTTGACTATTTTGCCAAATGTGTGTCTGTGTGCATGTAATATTTAACTGCATTTTAGTTTATTCTGATCTCATGAATACCTAAGGCACTTATTAGTTCTATTACATCTTTTGGATGCAGTAATGCCATAAAATGATGAGGAAGCTGTCCTTTATCACACATTCATCATTTTGTTATGAAACCCTTTCCTCATTGTAACAGGACAAGCTTCTGGATTCTGCCACAGTGACGCACCTCTTCAGAATAACAGATAGTATTGGATGTGTAATGTCTGGGATGACAGGTAAGCTGTGGCGCCTACATTAAGCTACATCCACACTGAAACCCCGCTTTTAAACAAAAACGATCTCCGTCTATACTAGCACGCCTGGAAATGAATATCACATCACTATGCACGTACACTGGGCATGCGGGTGCTAGTGCAAACAGGAAGTAGATTGGTTGCTTAGATACAGAAAATACAACAGAGTATTACAGTAGTCTTTAATATTAAAAGGCAGTGCTTTATACTTAAGATCTTCCTCTATAAACTCAAACAGACACATTTCATGGAAAGTTTTAAAAGTTTTATTTGTCTAACTAAGTTAGAACGCTGCAGGTCATACTCACTCACTCTCTCTCTCTCACACACGCACATCAAATTTACTTCAACATGAACACTTACACATAAAAGTTCACTAGATTATGGGTCCATAAATGTGATCAACGTCCGCTCCGTAGGTCTGATAACACCGCTGGTCACGCCGCTCACTAATCGCTCCAATAACAGCTGCTTCCTCTGTAATAATGCAGACTTTAACTGAACAACAGCTACTAGTAAAGACAACAAGGTCGGCATCGCCTGTAATCAGTTGTCCATGTTGCATTAACCTGGTAGTCGATCGGTAATCAATGTTGTTTGTTTTCTTCCGGGAAACAGTCACGTGATAGGTGTGTGACGAATCAGGGAAGGACACGTCATGACTGCTAAGAACCAATCAAGTAGCGAACGCGGGTGTGGGCGTCATCGTTTTAAAAGTTATGCGGTTGTGCCTGTCCACATTACAAGGTTACCCCGGTTTTTTCAAATTTACGGCTTCGGGAGAGTTTTCAAACTCCTCCGTTTTCAGTGATCTTGTGTGGACGCTCAGTGTAAACGTAGCAAAAGATACGTGGATCTAGTGTGGATGTAGCCTTAATGTTTATACTAAGCAGTCTGTTATTAATCAATAGGTTCATTGGTTTTAGATTTTATGAATGTAGCTGAGGAATTAATTAAAAGGTAGTAAATTGTATTTTGATGGATACAACTTTCAGCCCCTCTGCAGTCAATCTGTTTCAGCAGCGTGTTTGTTTTCTTCTCATTTTCCTCTTCACTTTCTATTAACTGAAGCATTTAAAGTATTGTTCGTTGTACACCATGGACTCTACAGGGAATGCAGTAGTTTTTCAGTATATAGGCGGGAAAAAACATGCCTCTTTCCAAAAGTAGTATTTTCCTTTTTAAATTGAAAGCGATGAGTCTTCCGGATCATTTGACATCTCTGTTCTTCTCAGTCACAGCATTCACTGTAGCTGACGGTTCCTCTTTCCACACAAATGTTATTTTTGCCATGAGAGCAGCTTTCTCTTGGTTGTCATTGAAACATTGCATGAGAGATTAGGAGTACCTTTGTGACTGTGGGACATTTAAAACGGGGGCTTTGAACCAGTCACCCACTTTTCCCTCCTCATCTCCTTCAGCTGACAGCAGGTCCCAAGTCCAGCGAGCTCGCTACGAGGCAGCCAACTGGAAGTACAAGTACGGTTATGAGATTCCAGTGGACATGCTGTGTAAGAGGATTGCTGACATCTCACAAGTCTACACGCAGAATGCTGAGATGCGACCACTGGGCTGCTGTAAGTGTCTTTCTTTATTTGCTGTCCCGTTCGGGGTTTTCTCATGACAGTAAAGTAGTGATCTATCGGTGCAAAACACTGGAGCCAAATGTCACAATCCTCTCCGTTTGCTGTTGCCTGCAGGCATGATCATGATCGGCATAGACGAGGAGCACGGCGCCCAGGTGTACAAATGCGACCCAGCAGGCTACTACTGCGGCTTCAAGGCCACCGCCGCTGGAGTGAAGCAGACCGAAGCCACCAGCTTCCTGGAGAAGAAAGTGAAAAAGAAATTGGACTGGACCTTTAAACAAACTATTGAGGTACAAAGGGATGTAACACAGGTTGATGAGGAAGGAGCATGACTGTGACAGTAACCTTAGAGGTGGTTTCCAGCTGTGTGGCTTCTAATTTTAGCATTATGTTAATGTTGAGTAAATGCTTAGAAACGATGTAATAGAAATATCATAAACACAGTCTCCACGTTTCTCCCCTTCAGACGGCAATCTCTTGTCTGTCAACTGTTCTCTCCATTGACTTCAAGCCCTCTGAGCTCGAGGTGGGCCTTGTCACAAAGCAGGACCCCAAGTTCAGGTAAGTGACCAGCACCACTTTGTTACCCCTGTAAGATGAGAATAACAGTGGACCAAATAGATTTCTCTCACCTTTGGTTATTGGCGCTCACATTCAGCATGATGTTTCAGAGGAACTATTTAGAGAAATGTATGTAGGCCGTGGTTACCACTTCACCTTAAGACACTCTAGATACGTTTGGGTGAGGGATGAATCTGCAGCAATCGATGAATTGTTTTGTCTATAAAATGTCAGAAAAAAGTCAAAATGCCAGTTATAATTTCTCTCAGCATAAGGTAATGTACTCAAACTGCTCAGTTTATTCAACCAACAGTCCACTTACTCTCATATATGGTAATAGCCTTACTGGCTGCTCTTTATTGATGAATGACGGTAGTTACATTATATGTTGGGATAGAATGGTCATCCTCCTCCCTGTCTTCTCTATCCAGGATTCTGACGGAGACTGAAGTGGACGTTCACCTGGTGGCCCTGGCAGAGCGGGACTGAGCGAGCAAAGACGACGCGTCTTTGCTCGCTCAGTCGCGTCGCCTGTCTGATTTAAGATGGTGCATGATGGGATATGCAGTTCCCAGATGGAGGCTGGTGTTATCTTTGTTTGCTGTACATTCACCCCCACTGTTTCATTCAACAATAAAAAAGTTTTTTTTGAGTAAAATAACCATTGTCTCTCGACCTGTATTTATTGTGAAGATAGTGATTGTTGTTTGCACAAGGAGCTGTTTGCATTTTTCAGACATGAATATGTATGTATGCCTTTTAACTCCTGGCCTCTGCTATCGTCTGTGAGTTGAGTTTAGCAGCAGGGGAAACGTTTCTGGGAACAAGAGCGTGAGCAGAGCTCAACCTCTGAGCTTCCTGTTGTGGCTCTGAACGCACTAAAATCACATGACATACCGACATACTGCGGAGAGCTTGTTTTACTACAAAGTGATGGAGACCTTAGTTGACCTCATTTTCTCAACATTTCAGTGTATTTTTTTTTTTACACATATGGAGCATGTCAGAAATAGACTGCTTGCACTCACCGGATATGTTTTACCAGTAGTTTCTGTATGCAAAGGGGACATTTGTTCCCCTTTCAAAATGGTTTTGACAAAGCTGACACATGGCCTCTGGTGTGTGTCGTGGGGAAACGGTGGCTCCAGCTCAGCATTTCATTTATATGATCATCAGTAAAACTATTTCCCATCAGTCTGCTGCTACACGGCTTCCTGCAGCTATTACAGAATCAGAACGACAGCTAAAATGTATTTTTTGCTGTATGAATTCATATTGAATGCCTGTCTTGGATCATTTCCACTGCCCTTAAAAGGCAACAACTTTGACCTTGGAAAATCCCCCTGCAGTCTTGTACAGGTTTAGTTCATGTTCATGAGGACTATTGCAGTGCACACTGCTTACACCCAATCACTGGGACATTTTCTCCGTGTCGCCTTCAGGTCTACTTCATACTGGGAATTAGAGCGAGTTCCTGGTTATTTCATGTCATTCTCTGGAAGATTCTTGACAATTCTACACAACTAACAGATCTCTAGCTTGAACTTCCCAGACTCCAAAGCTCCCTGGTCATTGTGACAGCAGTTAGACTGATAACTACCTCTGGCCCATTTCCAGTATTGGTAAAAGATGCTTCCTAGTACAAGAGTTCTTCTGTATTTCTAGCAAGTGCCAGTTCCCAGCTGCCACTCAGCGGTAGCTTCGGGGCCGGGCAGAATGTTTACGTACACCATGTTCCTCTTATGCCGCCCAGGGACTTTCAACGCGGTGACTCAGAGACCTGGTGACCTCGCCCCAACAAGGAAATCCCAGACTGTTCTAAGTGGGATTGTTTTTGTCTTTCACAAGTCTGGGCGACGACTGTCTTCCTTGTCACTTTGTTTAAGTGAGAAATGATGCTCATTTTAAAGTGTGGAAAGGCCGTGAAACAGAAGGAAATAAAACTCACCAATCACAGCTGTGTATATTTATAAACTTCTTTTTATTCAGAACAACTTTTTGTTAATAGTGTTTAAATTCACACATATGTACAGGTACAAAAATAATATCTCTGTATTTACAATATATTACACACGTCTTGTCTGGTATATACACATCAATGTATATTTGCAGTATATAGAAGGACTATGGAGGTGGTGGTCTTGCTGTTTTATGGTGTTTCGGTGCAGATCATTCTGTGATCCGGACCGGGCTTGACCAGACTGGACACCGTCTTCATCCACGTTCTTTTGATCCCAGGACCAGCACCTGTGGACTTGGGCCTGGACGGGGGACATGGACTGATGTGTCCCTCGTTTGGTGGGCCGTGGCTGGGCCACATTGTAGCAGCTTCACTGTCATTCACAGCACCGGTAGATGGGATGCTTCTGTTTACTTTCCGAACTTTATGTCATCGTACAGCTGCAGGAGAGAAAAGAAAAGACGTTAGGAACCCAGACTTTAAAAACAAGATCATATGAAATCTTCAGGCTCTGTTGCCTTTGAGGACCCCGATTCAAAAACTAACCTCATCCTCCGATGAATCCAGATCCTCCATATCGCTATCGTCTGATTCGCTGTCAGGCAGCTCCCTCAGCTCCTGCGGCGTCCTCTCGTACAGCTGGCGGCGGATCTCCTCGCTCTGGCGTCCGTAGGTGAGGTGGTACGGCGTGAAGCCACCGTAGTTCAAGCAGTTCACGTCAGCGCCGAGCTCGAGGAGGCGCCCGACCAGTGTGGGGTTCTGGAGGTCTACGGCCAGATGGAGCGACGTCCGTCCACTGCACTGTTCCTATGAGCAACAACGTAAAGAAACACTGTTAGGTCGCTGCTGCATCACACCGAGGTTGTCCTTCAGACATTACTTTTGTGAAACTGGCTGCATCTTGGGCTGATGACACATACCTGTGCGTTGATGTCTGCACCCAGCCGAACGAGGCTTTCAACCAATGAGATGTAGCCGTTAATGGACGCCAAGTGGAGACAGCTATGTCCTGTGGAGAGGAAAAGCTCAGTTAATAACCAAATTCAAGAACTTCTTATGTGAGTCATGAAAATCTGTGTGTCTTCAGGTGTTCCATTTTAACTCTGTACTTACCACTGTAGTTGGGGAAGGACGCCATAGAGGCGATGTGGCGCTGGCAGTTCTGGGTGATGACGCCGAAGCAGGCGAGGGAGCCCTTCTTGCAGGCGATGTGGAGAGCCGTGTTCCCGCTGTCGTCGGCTAGACGTGGGTCACTGCCGGCCTTCAGGAGCCTCTCCACTAACTGAGGCTGCTCTGTGATCACTGCCAGGTGGAGGGCAGTCTGGGGAGGACACATTCAGAAAATATATTTAATTATCATCCTGACTTCAAAGGTCATTTGTGTATATGAGGAGGAAGGTGTGGCTTTGTATTCAATCATTTATTTGGAGTTATTACCTGTCTCTGGTGGTTCTGTGCATTGAGGAAGGGGTGCTTGTGAGAGAGTTTGATCATCTGAAAGGCATGTTCTGTGGCTTCATGGATGATGGCCAAGTGGAGGAGTCTGTTTGGTGAGGAGGAGGGGGGGGAAGAAAAAGAGAAAGGTTAGTTAAAATAGTGCTTTTAATAAATAAATAATAAGATCTACCCACTGAGGAAGTGGTTCCAGCTAAGTACGAAATAACAAAGCCCGAGCAGTGGAGCGTTTCGCAAGACCGGAGTTTTGTCGGGTTATTTCCACCAGTTGTTGCTTGACACATCTGATGCTTTATCAGTTCCTGGCACCAGGCCAGGGACTTTCCTGAACGCGCAGAGCGGACTTTAGCACCGCCCAGACTGCGCTCTCAGCTAAAGTACACACACACTCACTGAGGACGCGCTTTGTTGCACGCGCGCACACTTTTTAAAAGGCCTCTTGTTTTCGTGCAACTTTCGACATTTTCATGCGTAATTTCGCAGCTTTTTCATAGCTTTTCTATGCATTCAATTTGAACGTTGCATGCTGCGCTCGAGTGCTTTTGATTTACGCACATCTGATTTACGCAGAACGAGGAAACGTGAGAATGCGCTGTGCATGATTAATAATCTACAAAAAAAAAAAAAAATCAACTTACGTGTCACCATCGTCAGTCACTACAGATCTCCACGGTTCGTATTCATGTGTGAGCTCCTCGCTTATGTTCACATGCATGTCCTCAAACTCGTTCACCAGCTCGTCCTCCTTCAGGGAATCCAGGCCGCTGTCGAAACGGTCCTCATGGCAAGGCAGCATTTTCCCGTGTTTGGGCTCCATGCTGTCGATGTTATAATCCATTTGATTGCTGTTAGATACTCGGTGGATGTCCATGGTGACTTTGCGACTGTCAGAAAAAACAGCTCCGTCTTTCTCCAAAGGTCAGGGCAGAGTAGTGCAGCTAAGGCAAAGCGCCTGGGTTTTGTACGCTCGGTGGGCGGGGCTTCAGCGGGGAATTCCGATTGATTTATCTTAGGTCTGACAAGGGAAATCACACCGAGCGTGTGCTTTTGTGAGAAAAATCCCCCCCTCTCCCTCCCAAAGAGACTCAGAATGAAATCTTGTAGTTTCCTATTAGACACCTATTTTCACCTGTGATGTAGGTTAGGGAACATGTCATGAGTTTTGTCAATGAATGAGACACCATGGGCATGAATGAGAGGGAGGCAGCCCCAAACTGGCTCTTGAAGAATTCCCTTCTGCACTGGGGAAATTATCTATTTCAAGTGGCTAACCAAAGTGTGTGTGTGTATATATATATATATATATATATATATATATATATATATATATATATATATATAAATATATATATATATATATATTCCATTTACTTACTTTTGGCCTAATTAAAATCAGTTTAAAAAGAGACATCCAAATTTGTCATAACTATGCTATAACTCATTTTACTTGCAAAGCACATTGATATTGTACAGTCTCTTATGTAAATACCACAGAATGTAAGGGAGACCATCTTATTTGGCTTAAATTGTGTGTTGATCAGATTTGTGCTGTTACTTTACTGTAGAAGAGTTTGCAGCATTAGGCTAGTGTTCCACTGAGCGGGGTAAAACAACATCAGTGTTTTTTTATGTATATTTTTATTCTACTTAAGACTTGAATTCTCTGTCACCATCAAATAATGTTACAGTCTCAAAAGAGGTGACAAGCAAGTTAATGTTTCGTTTTTGTGATCAGACCTGCCAAACTCGCCCTTTGCCCTGAGGCAGGTTGTGATTTTTGTAACCTGCTATGGGATTTGCAAAAATAGTGCATCTGGTGCAAAAGCACAACAAAACTTCAGACAGAAGAAGATGGCAGGATTTCATCAATCGTGTCTGTACAAGGTTACACTACAAAGTGAATTTACGCAGCACATGGAGTGTAGAGGAAGGGGAAAGACTCTAAAGTTTCCAAGTGGAGACTCTTATGAAACCAACACTGCATGTTCCACAATAGAATGTTCTGGACTTACCCGTGTAGCATTGCACGTGCTTAACACACTGCTGGAGGTCAAATCCTGCACAAATTAGCTTTGATCCTGGAAAACACAGTTTTTACTCATGCAGAAAATGTATGACTTTTGGTAGGAATTTTGAATATTTTCCTTGTCTTTTTTTTTTACATTGTTGTGACTTTCCGTGTGATCTTTCTTTTCTGCATTTGTCCAATAGTTGTTTTTAGGCAAGTCTTTAAGAGGAAATTACTTTCTGTTGCGCAACATGGTGGCAAAGTGCGTGACAGCTACCTGCATGTTCTCCCCTGACATTTAAGATAAAACTCCCAGGATCCCTTCTGTTTACATTTCATTGTGAAAGGTAGGCTTGGTGAAAACATAGCAACAGTATCCAAGAGCGGTGTAGCATCCACACCTCTATGGGGCAACCCTCAGTCAAACACACGCACACGCATATACACTCCCATCATGGCTGTGATGTCATCTAATGCAGCCGTATCTCTGTCTGAGTGTCTGTGGGTGCGTCAGATCAGACAAATCACTCGTACTGGCGGCCATCAAGTCCTTTATCTAACTTGAACTCCACACATTTTTTAATCTCTGCCAAATATCACCATGAGGCATCTGGGGACAAACTGTTCTTGCTGCTCTGTGGTATTTCTCCCATTGCCAAGATTGTGTGCTTGTGTGTTTGTATGGTCAGATATTTACCTCACACAGGAAATACTGGGACTTCCACTTTACATACTTGAGATGTTTCATTTTTTTTGTAAAGCTGTGCAAGTGCTCTTGTCTCCACTAGACTATGTTTACCGCAGGTTGCTATGGACACCAACCGCTGAGAAAGCGCTGACGCCAGTTCATTGTCAAGGGCTGCACATTGCCCTCTGTCTGTGCGCTGGGAAAGCATCAATTATCTGAGTCAGTACAGTGCCTCAGGGGGCATCACACCCTGTTGGTGAAGTGCTAAAGTCATGAAACTATCCCTTTTTCTCTATTGACCAACTAACACCAACCTCACCCTACAGCCTTTGAAAAAAGGGTTGCTGTGCGCTACAGTTAGTTGCAGTCTAATACCACAGCTCTGTAATAAATCCTACCTTTATGGGGGTTATAATGTTCCGTTTTTGTTGAAAGTGTTCAGTCTTAATTCCACTGTACAATCACTTTGGAGCCTGTTTGTGTTGCTGTTCAATTATATATAGTGGCGTTCATACGTCTACCCTTGACCTAAATGGAGTGGAGAGCATAATGCAATTCTTCAGCACGAAGCCTCCTAAATTATCTTTATTTGAATAAACACCTCTCTAAAAACAGAAAATTATAAGCATCATGAAGGTACAGAGTATTAGTTCAATGTATCAGGTTGGGGTTTTAGGTGTACCTAAGCTGTCAACTAAACGATTAATCCAGGCAACAAAAAATATGCCATTACCAAATATGGAATTTGGAGACAAATCTTTGATAAATATAAATAAAGCAGAATAAAGCCGCCTACACGGCCAAATTAGTTAGTTTGAGGGAAATGTCCCACAATTAGAAGCTTTAGTAATTTGTTGTATACTTTTATTCCAGTAGTCATTTTACAGTAATAGGTAGACTACCCAACATTGTTTACAGTGACGGCTTAGGAAGGGGTAAAATACTGCTGATGAGCAAGTACAATAAAAGTAGGTTAATTTGATGAAACTGAGACAATTATCATTTTTGGAAAGCATCTGTACACTTAAGGAAGTAGTTTGACATTTTGGGACATATACCTCCTGAGAGTCAGAATGCAGTAATTATAGAGCTAGAGCCAAGATACAATTAGCTTAGCATACAAATTGGATGCAGGTGAAACATATATATATATATATATATATATATATATATATATATATATATACATACCAGCACCTTATATCATATTATATCTCTTTTGTTTAATTTGCACAGATAGACATGAGATAGAACCTATTTATTAGTACACTTTTGGTGGTAGGTTTTAGGTAGGAATAATCTTAAACTTTGTAGCTGCCTGCTTCCAGTTTTTAAGCCAAGCTAATAGCTAAATGGCTTCATTGTCATGATTAGCATACAGACAAACCTATATCTCACTTGTATCTATTTGTGTAATGATTAAACAAAAGTTATGTGGTAACAAAGCTGAAGAGATGCTGGTTTGTGTATTTCCTTTTACATTGCACAGACCCAGCTAGCAGTCGCTGCCTGCTTCCAGTCTTTAAGCTAACCTAAGCTAATATAGCTTCCTAGCAATAGTTCCATAGTTAGTGTACAGATACGCCTGTATCTCACATGCATGTGTATGTGCACAGATAAAAGTTATATACGTTAGTAGCAAAGCTTAAGAGGTGTTGGTTTGTGTACTTGTTTTACCCTACAAAGAGCCAGCTAACTGTTTCTGCTGCTTTCTGTCTTTAAGCTAATGGCCTCCTTGCTCTAGCTCCATGAGTCGCATATACATGAGAGTGATATTGATTTGCTCATCTAACTCGTGGCAGTAAAGCAAATAAGCCTGATTCACCAAATGTTGAACTATTTGCTTAAATCACTTACTTATCTTAATTAAGTAACTTAATTACTTACTTATCTATTTGTTCAGACACATTTTTCAAAAGGGTCACATTGTCACATTGTTATGTAAAGCCAGATGTTTTTATTTGGAATCCGTCATGTCAGTATTTTTTATGGGAGATCTGTTAGTTGTTCAGCTGTCTGAAAATAGCCTCAGTTTCCCAGATCTGCGCATGTCATTCATGACAACTTCCCTCCTGTTTCAAAAGGAAGCTATCACTCCATTGTTACAGTAATCACTCAATGGATAGTCAACCTCAACCAGTCCAATTCTTGTGTGGGATTGGTGACACAGCAGCTCTACACCCAGAGTTTACACAAACTACACCCACTTTATGTTTTCACAATGTGTGGCTCAGTGTAAAAAGGAGTATTTTAGTATCACTAGTTCACGCATGGCTGTTTTCCATTGTATCAAACAGGCTAGCTGTTTAATGATGTGTCAGGCTGTTTCTTAGTCAGAGAGACTTAACCACAACCATGCAAGGCTATATGAAAGGTTGTTATCTCATGTAATTACATAATGTGTGCCTGTCATACAGCATTTGCCATGATTTTATTAAAGTCACGAGGAGAATGAAGATTTGAGTATCAATCAGACAAAAAGTACAAGGAAGGTCATTAATCCTGTGTGTTTCCCAGAACAAACAATACCACTGTATAAACAGGTTTCCATACCTGTAAAAGAAAGGATGTTGTTTGCTTTCAGTGGCATGAGACGATCATGAGAATTTGGGGTGGAAAATGGTGTTTCAGCATCTTCTTTCTTTTATTTATTTTTTTGCAATAGCTTCTAAAAAAGTCATGGAAGACATCTGACACACAGGTTATTGAAACTTTCAAAATCTGGTGAGATCCTCCCCTTTGTTGCCTCAGTTTCACGCTGAATGTGCAAATGCATATTTTTTCGAGGAAGCGTAGGTGTTTTTCGGAGAAGGGGTAATACCTTTATTTCCCTCCCCAGGCATTCCCATGGTGTTAAAGGCCAGTCATTCACACAGACTGGGCTGTGGGACCCGACCCAGTCTGTGGGAAGAATTTGTAGAATTTGTCCCATAGTCTTATCTTATTAAACATTTATATCTGCAGTACACCTTTGAGCCACATGAGGAAGCCTGAATGTCCGTATTCTGATAATTGTCACCTACTAAAACTCTTATCTAATATGAAAGGCTAGTGTACATTCTTTATGTTCAACTGATGAGAGGAAAAAACAAAAGCCTGTTTACTCCACCTAAATGCATTCATTTGGGTAGCTTTTTTCCCATAATAAATGAAATCATCATTTAAAAACTGCCTTTCGTATTTACTTGGGTTATCTTTGTCTAATATTAAAATTAGTTTGATGATCTGAATCATTTAAGTGTGACAAATATGCAAAAAAAAA